GAGTGTTGGATAATTCTTGCTGGATTTTCGACGAACAAACCTAATATGTGTTGCTGGAAAAATTTCACGGCCCATGGGTCCCAAAGAAAATTTCATTTGCTGTTAAATGGACAAAGACAATTACTGCATTTCTTTATTCATTCTGAACGTTTGGAATAATTTTTTTTGTTTACTTATTCTTCAGAACGTTCCTGATGATATGTTAACGTATATTTCAAACTTATTCTGTTTATTCCGGCTGTGAAATGGGATTATCCGGAATGTATAAAGAAACGCAGCCTATTTGTATTAACAACACATCGAAATGCGTAATTTCAGTGTCAGAATCATATCAGAATCATCGTATCCGATATAGAAAACTACGTTGTGAAATAATCAGATGACATGAGGACACTAAAAAAACTTTAAAATATGTTCACTTGTTCACTAAATTGTACTAATATTAAAATAATGATTTCACAAGTTGTTATCGAATTAATGTAAAATTTAAACGTTTTTAAGATAAGATATTAATTATTTTTAAAAGGTAAATATTTATACAACTATTTCATTTATAATCCCAAATTTAAGATATAAAGTCTCCCACACCAAAAAACTTACAATTGCGTAACGCCGCTCCCAATTTTTCACAATTGAGCAATTGTCAAAAATCTGCTTTTTAATCAAAAAGTTGTTTATTGAAACTACCTTCTTTTTTGTATCATGAAAAATCCTGTAAAACTTTCAAACAGCAAAATTACTCTCTGAAGTGAGAGTAAAAAGTGAGTAACAACAAAAAGTACGGGAACAAAAAACCATTTTTCTGTAAAAACGTCAACCAGTGATTGCTTGACACTTTTCATGATTTTACCAGAAGAAAAAGTTCGGGTAAAATCAACGCGATTTATACAAGGTGGTGTTACTAGCTCAGCTGATTTTGTGTATGTGTTTCGCCGCACGGCTTCTGATATCAAATTGAAAAATTTTGTTTGACTTTCTACACACACTTACAGATTTTGACAGCCCAGTAGAAATCGGTTGTACGCGTTCATGAAGAATGCTTGCTATATGAGTGAATTAGTGTGAACAAATTCATGCGTAGTCATGAATTTCCACGAATAAATTCAAATTCTAGTGAATTGCAAGCGAATTTACGTTGTCGTTGTTTTTAGTACATTTCTTGATAAATTTGAAGTGGAATTTTTGTAATATTTTCAGTCTTGTACAAAAATTTTAGTGAACGGATGTGTTGTGCGATACAATTTTCAGCACAATCGGGCTTTTACAAGATATGCATTTGCATATGGGCATTCCCATGGTGGCGCACGTGACAGTCGTACGATTTCAATGTGATACAAAAAAGGAATACCATTTGTTTTCTTTAACTTTTTTGGGCCATTGTATAGCTCGTAATTAGCTCTATATTTAACCGAAAAATTAAATCAATCGAACTGCTTGGTCCTGAAATATAAGTATTTAAAGAGAGTGTCGTTACGTGACAAAAAATGGAAGTTGATTTTTTCTTTTCTTACAAAATCGCAAAACTCTGCGCATTGTGGATGGGTATTTTCATGAAACTTTTTTTAGTTATTTTTAGAGTTTTTTGAATTAATGCAAATTGTTTCAATTCTCTTTTACAGCCCCAAGTGTGAAACGTGACGTGACGTGGCGTCACGTGACATAAATTTCCATCGTTATATTTTTGTTAATATTGCTTTTAAATGAATTTTCAACGCAAAGAAAACATGTATTTTATGTAGAATATACTTTATATTTTGACTTCAGCGCCAATTCAGGGTCAATTTATTATAAATCTATGATTTATTATGTTTCAACCACATGCGCCAAATTCGAACCAAATCGGACCATAAATACGGTTTTTCGAAATATCTCGACCTTGGCACCACCTAGGAAGACCATTTTATCCATGATTAATGGGTATCGCCGATCTAGACGGGGTTAGATCGCCGAAACAACAGCCCTTGGTCGGGTGAAACCCGAGTCATTCCGGTACGTAGAACCGGCTGTCGTCACTTCCGGCTATGTTCTGGTCTACGCACCACTCGCGAATGGACTACAAACTACAGCGCCCCTTGCTGTAGTGCACCGCCGACGCAGACAACAACGCCCATATCGCAGCCACCTACCATCAGGCTGCAACAGCAACTGCGTCAGGCGCAACAGGCCCAAGGTAGGCCCCACACTTCTCTGACCCCCCGTATCGCGACCAGCCTCCCAAGGCACATAAACGTACTCCAACTCAACTGCAACGGACTCCAGAGCAAGATTGAGGAGATAGCAGTCTTCATGGGTCGGCACGGCATATTGATAGCTGCGGTCCAAGAAACGAAGTTGCACAGCAACTCAACTCTGTTGGGTTGCGCCGCCTACAATGTGCTCCGTAAAGATCGCGAGCGAGATAATGGTGGTGGACTAGCGTTCATTCTACACCACACAGTGCAGTATCGGCTAATCGAAGAAGACATCGACCCAAGGGACACTACCCTAGAATGTCAGGGCATAGCTGTCCGGTCAGGCGATGTCGAGCTCGAAATATTTAACGTGTACATACCCCCTGTCACCTGCTGCCCGGCTGGATATCTCCCTGACATAGGTGCGCTACTCAGAGGCGAAAACCGATTGGTAGTAGGTGACTTCAATGCGCACCACGATCTTTGGCACTCAAGCCTGGCCAATGATCGGAGGGGAAACAGTTTGGCTGAGCAGATAGACGATTCGACATTCTGCACCATGAACGACGACGCCCCCACCAGGATTGTGGGCAGCTGCAGCAGCTCGCCAGACGTAACAATTGCTAGCGCTGGTCTGATAAGTAGCATATCATGGCGACCTATGCTAACGTTAGCATCAGACCATCTGCCCATAATCATCTCGATCAATAAGCCCACCGACTTTGCTCCCGCGGATCACCGAACCTACACCAACTTCAACAAAGCTGATTGGAACGGCTTCGCGGAAGTTACCGAGAGCAGCTTCGCCGCCCTCCCCACACCCACAGACGTACATGCTGGCGAACGCCAGTTCCGCAAGGTAGTCACAGCCGCAGCAGCTCGCTTCATACCGTCCGGACGCATCGCGGAAGTCCGCCCAAATTTCCCGGCTGAAGCAGCTGTACTAGCAAATGAGCGTGACCACCTACGCCAGGTCGACCCCGGGGACCCTCGCTTGAGGGAACTTAATTTGGAGATTCGGCAACTGGTAAATCAACACAAGCGGACAAAGTGGGAAGAGCACTTGAATGCCTGTAACTTCACCTCTGGTGTGAGTAAGCTCTGGTCAACCGTGAGGTCCTTGTCCAACCCGACGAAGCGTGATGACAGAGTGGAAATTTCATTCGAAGGTCACGCCTCATCGGACCCGAAGAAATGCGCGAACTATTTCAGTCGGCAATTCACACTGCATCCTTCGGTAGACAAGGCCAAACGTCGAGTGACCAGGAGGCTGCACAAACTGCCCAAAAACGATGCACCACTTGTTTTCACCAGCGGTGAAGTAAAGGGGGCCATCGGGAAGGCGAAAGCCTCCAAAGCCATTGGACCCGACGGAATCTGTATGCTGATGTTGAAACATTTGGGGCCTGTGGGGGTAGCATACCTCACGGAGGTCCTCAATTTGTCTATGACCACTCTCATCATTCCTGATGTGTGGAAATCAGGGAGAGTGGTCCCACTGCTGAAACCGGGGAAGCCCGCCAACAGAGGAGACTCTTATCGCCCGATAACGCTCCTTTCCCCGGTCGCGAAGACACTTGAGGCCCTGCTGCTCCCATACTTCACCTGCCACCTAACCCCAGCGAAACATCAGCATGGCTTCCGTAAGGTGCACAGCACAACAACAGCACTTAACGCCATAAACACCCAGATAACCCGCGGCCTAAATCGAAAGCGCCCCTGTGAGAGAACTGTCCTAGTAGCGCTGGACTTGTCAAAGGCGTTTGACACCGTCTGCCATTCCACGCTGCTAGAAGACATTGAGGCCTCCTCTCTCCCACAGGGACTGAAGCGATGGTCGGCGAATTATATGAGTGGTCGGCAATCATCAGTAATCTTCAGAGATCAAACCTCGAAACCTAGAAGAATAAAACAAGGGGTTCCACAAGGTGGTGTTCTCTCCCCCTTACTTTTTAACTTCTATATCTCGAAACTCCCCCAGCCACCTGAAGGAGTTTCCCTGATCTCCTACGCTGATGACTGTTCGATTTTGGCGTCTGGGAATGGAATTGATGACCTCTGCTCAAAAGTAAACGGCTATCTCTCCAGCCTTTCTCGCTTCTTCACTGCAAGGAGCCTAACCCTCTCCCCAACGAAATCAACGGCGACCCTCTTCACCACCTGGACGAAGGAGGTCAGGCTTGAATTAGGCATTCACGTCGACGGCACACCAATACCGACGGTGAACAACCCGAAAATTTTAGGGGTTACCTTTGATAGCCTGCTCTCTTTCTCCGCGCACACAACCGCAGTTGTCAACAAAGTACAGAGCCGCAACAAGGTCCTCAAGTCGCTCGCCGGCAGCACTTGGGGCAAAGACAAAGAAACGTTGTTGGCAACATACAAGGCAATTGGCCGGCCGGTTCTAAATTATGTTGCGCCAGTTTGGACGCCGGGGACTAGTTGGACGCAGTGGACGAAGCTACAGACTTGTCAGAACGCCGCACTCCGGACAGCGACCGGGTGCCTTCTGATGACGCCTGAGCATCACCTACACAGTGAGGCCCAAGTGCTCCCCGTAAGGGAACACAACAAGATGCTCTGTAAGCAGTTTCTTGTGGGGTGTCACAGAAGTGAACACCCCAACAGACCACTGCTGGAGGAGGAGCCTCCGCCCAGGCACGTCAGGGGGCACCTATTCATGTACAAGGACGCAGTCCAGACCTACACAGACCAACCACTGGACCCAATGACGTACAGACGAGCGATTAACGACATTCATAGGGAGTCTGTCTCCACCTACCTCGACTCCCGGCCTAGGAATGTCGTTATCGGAGCCCAATCACCACCTGTGGAAGAGACGGAGCTTCAGTTACCTAGAGAGACCCGCGTTACCCTGGCTCAGTTACGGTCTGGATATTGTAGCCGCCTAAACAGCTACCTGTCCAGACTCGACCCAAACATCCCAAATGAGTGCCCGGCATGTGGAGACTCCCCCCACGACACCAACCACCTCTTCACATGCCAGCTCAATCCGACTCAACTAACACCTCTCTCCCTTTGGTCCGACCCCATCGAAACAGCTCGTTTCCTGGGCCTACCGTTAGTTGTGCTTGACGATAATGATTAAAAGTTGACCCGAAACAGGCGGGGCTTAGTAGTGCCGCTACAACAACAACAACCATTTTATGCAAACATGATTCTACTTACATAGCCAGTATATATTTTAAAAAGCAGACAAATCGGCCCGTAAATACGTTAGATATAAAACTTTTATTTTTTTTGTCGTGGTGGACCTTCCGCTGGAAACACCCATATGTAAGTGCTACTTTTTTGTATGTCCCCGTATATTGAAATATATCAGAGAAGTAGCATTTACATACGGGGATACATATCTTGTAAGAATGCTTTAATACTGTTCCATTAATGCATTTTTGTATGTTTGAAACATTAATAGCCATATGCATACAGCAGTAGTACAAGTGTATGGTTAGAGTACGCATACGCTCTGAGAAACCACGCGTGTTAAATGGAAATGAAGGTTCATTTATACTGGCATGTATACACAGCAGCAAACTCATGCCACCAACAGCAATGTCGTATGCATAAAATTTCTACTGGGAGTTTATGCCGCCAAAGCAAAAACAAAATACATGTACATTTTTGTTTTTGTACTCCTGCTATCACCTTATATTAGGTTCATTCCTTATCTTTTTAGACTAAAATCTGAAAAGTGTCAAAATGCCAGAGCGTAAGCAAAATGCGCTCACTAAAAGAGGATAACAGGAAAAGTAAAGGAACGCAAAAAACCAAATTTTTAGTCCAAAGAATGGCAACAACAAAACTAACTTCAAATAAGAATGGAAATGTATGTACAAAACACATTCACACAAGCACAAGCACAATAAACACTTACTATATCAATTATTTTTTGCCTACTTCCAATTTCAATTCACTTTTTTATACCCGAGCGCACTTGTGCACAAGGATATTATAACTTTGTTCACATAACGGTTGTTTGTAACAGGCAAAACGAATCGAGATAGATATAGACAAATGTATACATAAATGATCAGAATGAAAAGAGAAATCGATTAAGCGGTGACTGTCTGTCCGTCCGTCCGTCCGTCTGTCCGTCCGTCTGTGCACACGATAACTCGAGTAAAAATTAAGATATCTTAACGAAACTTTGTACGTGTACTTCTTTCGGGCGTAGGACGGATGGTATTAAAAATGGGCAAAATCGGACAATAACCACGCCTACCTCCCATATAACGGCAATTTTCAGAAATACAAAAACTGCGATAGTTTAGTAACTTCTGAAGATAATTCACTCAAAATTGATATTTATAATAAATTTTAGACGAAAAATAAGAATATTAATTTTTTTTTTGAAAATGGGCGTAGCCACGCCCACTTATGATTACATGTGTATATCTTGGTAACCGCTGCATCAATTTATTCCAAACTTGGCACAGTTGTTGGCCCTGGTACAGCATACCACATGGCCGAAAATTTTTAAAATCGGACAATAACCACGCCCACATCCTATATAACGGTAATTTCGAGAAATACGAAATCCTCGATAAATCAGTAAATATTAAAGCTAATTTATTCAAAAT